AGGTAAGGTTTATCTGAGAACAACTGGTCTTTGCCCAAGATTTATCTACAATGACACACAGTAATTAAAAGTCCCAGACTGGTAGAACTAACCTTCTCGAGTGTTTAACAGACATACTTTGAGGCCTATACTAATTTGGTAAGAGAGACATAAAGGACAGTTTTTGCTCCTTGACCTCCTAGGTCGATTAGTTCCAGGGGACTATGAGCATCTAGGAGCCAGGGGCTCCTCCCAAGCTCATGTGACCCCTGAGGAACAGATCCTCAAACGGCCTTAAGAGTAAAAATAAATTGGTTTATTAGGGCCAACTGTATGGCCTTAAACACCCAAAAGGAAAATATAACCTAAGATTAAAGGGGCCAACATAATTTTTTAAGAGTCCATATGTATAGCTAAAGGCTACATAACAAGCATCAATGCCAGATAGGAGATACCTTCTTTTCAGTTGTTGGCCAGGGTGGCCAAAGGTACTCCCAGACAGTAACCCAGCATAAAACTGGGAAAATGAACAGCAAACCTCAATCTTATCTAAAGGAATATTGACAACTGATTGCTGCTAGATGAGGAACAGCTGACCTTTCTAAAACAAAGACCTCTAGATAGGCTGACTAGATTTACCAGAAGGGCAAGTAGTGGGAATGGCTAGGGGTGCCGACAACACAGCAGGCAATAGCAGGAATATCAGAGTATAAGGGATCTAGTGGGGGGAGGGAGTCTATGGGAGGGTGCTACCTGGGAAGTGGGTATAAAAAAATTAATTAAAAAAATAATGATAATTCTTCAAAGCATAAAAATTTTCTCCTTAATAATTAGTAGATATGAAAAACATTACCATTGAAATCTACCTGATGACTTTATATCCATGCTCAGATGCCAAGGAGCTCAGAAAGTAAGTGACTGTGACTAGTAATAGATATATAGAGATTAGAAACTCATGTACATCTTAGTGTCAATTAAAAATGAATTTTTCTCTTTGAAACTGTGTATTTTAATAATGAAATGAAGATCTTTTTTTGAAGTTTAAAACCTCATTTAATTTTATGTTACAGCCAATTTTGAAAAAGATGCATCTTAGCTCTGGAAATTGTTACTGAACATGTCAATGCTAATGAAATGAAATGCTTCTTCTAATTATATGGTTATCAAATAAAATAATAATATAATAATATTATTACTAAGCTAATTAGCATAAAGACTCCAGAAAGTGTTGCTGAGATCTGCGACCCAGGAAGAACTGTCATCAAGAGCAGATGCCCTGCCCTGGGCTCTGAGAGCCAAGCTTGGCCTCCCTGACTCTCCAGGATACCTGAGAGTCTCCCAACTCCCAGTCACAGAAGGGATGAGCTCACCAGGCAGCAGGGGGTCCTCAATGCACAGCATCGACGGTCGGTACCCGCTGGTCATGGCTTTCATGATCTCTTCTTTGGCGATGTAGGCACCTCCTTCTTTTATTCTAATACCAGTTTTCAGGTAATTAAAATTTCTTCCATAGAGTTCAAAAAATTCTACAAGAAGCATTCCAAGGTTTTCGTCTGCTCTCCGGGCATCAATTCTTGGGTGCAACTATAAAAGCAAAGCAGCCACAATGTACAAATTCAAGTTATGCTCAAAGAGTGAATCTAGCAGCCTCTTCAGGAAACCACAATGGGGGCAGGAGGGGGTCAAAACAAACATCCTGATGTCAATATCCACTCATGCTTGAGCTTCTGACACTGGTAGACAGAACAGTGCCTTCCAAGCACACATAAAATTAGCTTAAAGTTTCCTGATGATGATAATGTTTTCCATATTCTGGACAATTGAGTCATGTGAATGGTAGATGCCATTTAGATTCCAGTCCTCTTACTTTCATTCTGACCTGTCACCAATAGGTGGCAGTATGAGATTGAACAGTATCACACATCACGTGAGCAGAACATGAGATGACTAGGTTTTACTCCGCACAGGCAAGGGGCACTGAATTCAGTACTCAATGACCTAGGCTTCCATACACAGCAGGCCTAGCTCAGCACCACACGTCTGTCAAGCACGTCACTACCTCATTCTGACCCTTGGCCACTGTCCCCCTGGCAATTTCTAAGTGTCACTGACTTAATACACCTATTCTCCTCAACCATCCAGACCTCTGCTGCCCACTACAGCCAGCACTGTGAAGAACTTAACAGCAACACATCCATCTGGCTGGACGCACTCCAAGTACTCAAGAGCAGATGTGGTCTGTGGTCTGCTTGATCGCACAGGGAATATTCTGTCTTTTGCACACTTACTGGACAGTGCCAGTCTAGACGGGGATGGGCAGGTCACAGAAGTGGAACCCTGACCAAACATTTTGCTGATAGGAAGCAGAGTCCCACAAGGAAAGATACCTTGTATTTTCAAAGTCTCCAGAATTTTGGTTTCCAATGACTACCTACCCCCAGGGTCTAAGAGGAGGTTTTTGCCTCTCCTTGATTCTCTTCCTTATTCTACTCCTGGCCTTTAGCCAGAAATCAAATATCCAAAAGTCAGCCCACTGACCCAGTTGCTGTGAGACCTGAGGAAGAATTGGCTCTAACAGCACCAGAGATAGGGGAAGGGTGGCATCCATGCTACGGCCTGTGAAGGTCCAACAGCTCAAGGACCCCAGCACACCAGGAACCCCTGGGAAAGCCTCAGGCGTGGTTACACATCATGGCTGTCATTACTACAAGGCACATGAAAACAGCTCAGATCAGGAACAGGTGAAGCAGTAAGAACAGAGGGGTGCTTGGTTAGAACAACGTCAACTGCAATGGAAGAAGTGCTAGACCAGAGCCTGGCACTCAGACTAAGGCCAGCCTAGCCTACAGAGTGAACCCTGCACAACACAAATGGAGAAATGAGGAAGCAAGGAGAGCACTACTCAACAAAAAGATTATATGAAATTTACAATCAACTATTGGTGGCTTATTAATCTTAGAAGGCCTGCCAGGTGTGATGGCTGTCATCTGTAATCCCAGCACTAGGGAAACTTGAGTCAAGAGGATTGCCATGAGTTCAAGGTAGCCTGGGCTACATAGTGAGTTCCAGGGTAGCCAGGACTATAAGATCTCATCTCCAAAACACCAATTGGAGCTTTTGTCATATTTTCCCCATATATGGCACCTACCCTTTATTCTAAGACTATTCAATATAATAACATCTTAAGTGCCAGGGAAAACAGCTTTTTATTGTTTGAAGAAATGAACTACCCCCGCCCCCTTTCTGGAGCTTGGAAAGATAACACCTGACTTCTGGTGGAACCTGCATCTAGACAGCACACATCAACTACAGACTCCAACTGCAGGACTCACAAAGCCACCGACCAAGAGAGCAGCTCCCTGACCTGAGTCAGAGCCAGAACAGAAGCAGGAAGGAGGGCAAAGCCTGCTGCAGCCCAGGGAGATGCTGGTCAGCTGCTGACCAGGGCCTCTCCTTCCACCAACTCAACACAGAAGTTCAGAGAAGGCACACTCACCTGCAGAAAGCTGATGGCCATTAAAATGAGGCTGTAAGAGCTAATTCCACCTGTGAAAACTTCATTCAGATCCCTCTGCAGGAGGAACTGTTTCAACACTAAAATTAAGTAAGGCAGCAAGGAGTACTTCTGTAATTCAAAAGAAAAAAGAGTGACCAGTCAGTGAGATGCTTTCAAAGACATTTCAGAGCACGTTTCACACGAGAAAGGAACGGTTCATTAATCCTCCTGCCCACCTCAAGCTGTCTCAAACTTTAGGGGGGCCTAATGATCCACATTGTCTGAGGAAGTTGTGAAAAGACCCTTCCCAGGCAGTGATTCACTGGGTCAGGGTTGGGGCCCTGCCACAAGGAACTCCAAGCTTGAAGTTGCTCAGAGGGAGTGAACAGGTCTGCTCGCCCCATGAACAGGGTCATCTACGGTACAAATACTCCGTCAGACCAGATGAGAAAGATTGAGAATGTAGAAAAGAACAAAGATCCCAGGGCTGGGTGTGCCTGACTGCCAATATCCCTGGACAGCCCCAGAATGCATGAGCTTGAGCACCAAGCCCATCCTCACAACCACGGGCACTGAGCTCTTCAAAGTGAGTCAACCTAGTTAGACCTTGACTCAAGTCAACTGTGAGTAGCCCTGAACTAGATTTCTGAATGTGACCCTTGAGCCAGGAGCAAGGCCACTGTGCAGTAACCACAATCTTCACAAAGCTCTCCAAAATAAAGGTTCAACTTTAAAAGGCAATCGGAAAACTGGCTACATACTCCCCATGTTCCTCTAGAAACCCTGTGCGGGGTAAGTAACCGCCGGGCATAGCCGACGCTGCTCACAATGCTGACACTGTTCGAAATTCTCAACATCTGAGAACGAGTACCAGGAGAGCTCACATCCGCCTCCACTGTGGGACCTGCTGGAACTGTACCTTCATGTAGTTTTTGATGAACTCCGCTGCCCGGACACCAGTCTCCATGTTAAAGCTGATGTCGACTTTGACTTCAGTCTCCTGATCTGTGAGCTTTATTATTGGCACCTGTAAAGATTTCATTTAAATAAACTGCTTTGTTGCACAACATTCTGCACAGACTGACACCAAAATATTGGCAAAGTTGTATAGAGGTTTTTCTTTCTTTATAAATAGGGATTGGGGGGGGGGGGAAGGTCAGATTTTAAAGAAAAGGGACTTTGTCAGGGTTAATCTCAAGACCAAGATGATACCCACCCAGCACTACCCCATCAGGGCAGGACTCCCCCAGGCTGACTCTACTGGAATGGAGGACAGAGACAAAGGGAAACAGGGGCCTAAGGAAAGAGGACATGGGTGAGAAGGACATGCAGCCTCAGAGGCCACACCATCCATGCCTTGGTAATCCTACTTCTGCTTGGTACAATTCTGGAGAACTTTCACACACACAAGTCAATTTTAGGAAATAAGCAGTGACATGACACTACTGATTTCAGAATGGCTGTTGCAAATGGACAGACCATACCAGACACATGAGCCCCCAGCACCACAAGATCCTGAGCAAAAGACATTACGGGTATGTGCGCAGAAAGAGTGCCTCCCTGTAGCTGAGATGGGCCCATGCTCAGATGCTCAGGTGACAAAAGAAAAGGTAACAGTACCCAGTGTGCCACCACTGGGAGGCCATGTGGACCAAGCAGTGACCACAACACTCTTCAAAGTGCTGTCTGTCCTCAAAGTTCGAGAACTCAGGAAAATCAGCTACTCTCTACACCTTCTACAGCTGAATGATGAAACCTGAGAGAAACCCCTCCTGCCTTGCTCACTGTCCAATGGGCTCATTTTCATCAACTGCACAAACATGAATGACAAGTAAGGAGACAGCCAGAAGGCCAGCGATGGACTGATGGCTAGACTCCTCCCTGGATAAAGGACAAGAGGGACAGGGGTGGGAACATGGCTGAGAGGACCGAGCACAGCAGGGATCCTGGCTACAGCAGACTGCCTAGATGTTTAAGGCACCCTGGTCCAACTCCTTGCGGGTGCAGGCCTTAGTGTCCGCGGTGTCCTCAGTGTCCTCGATACCAAACGTGATTCTCAGTGAGCATGGCTGGGAGGACTGAGTACAACATGGCATTAGGCATCTCAGGAAGTGACCAAAGCTCATCTCCGAGAAGAGCTCAGGTGTACAGAAGGTACTATGGGAAGCTGGGCCTACAGTGTCTGCAGCTGGGTGCTAGGGAGAAGCACATGTGCTTTCAGAAGACGCTCACTGACACTCAGGGAATGTGCTTACTATCTGAACGCCCTCTGACCCCAGGCAAAAGCACCTGGCAGGGCAGGTACTGGAGCCCACATCAGACCTTCCCATCAGATCAGCTGTGAGAGGATGCTCCTACCTGCGCCACTCACTCTGCAGATAAGCTGATGCACCAGTTCACTTCAAAGCTGAAGCACAAGCCCACAGCAGCTGAGCTGGCAGCTGTCACACACCAGAGCCAGGGACTCAGACATCCTGAGCTGTCTCTAACCTGAACTACTATGAAAGTCATAGGAATTCACAAGAACCGGCCTCTCTTCCAGCTGCTTCTCCTGACAGGGCCCTTTCATATGCAGACACAGCTCTGGGTAGCAGAGGAACTTAAGTTTTCCTTTCTTCAATACACAATAAAGCCATGCTCAGATCTGAGTTGCCCTCCTGAGAACGGCAGCACAGATCGCTGGCTTCTCTGCCAGCCACTCTCCTTTCCTTCTCTTCGAACACATGTAAACACAACCCTCTCTTTTAGGGCCAAGAGCAGCTTCAAGATCTCACAAATGCCAACAAGCCAGGTAATCACTGGACAGGCTCTCAGCTGGTAAGCATGAAGACGATAACTATGTTTACAACTCACATAGAGACTCTTCAAAATGCAGCCAGTGACCTCAGTCAAGCAGCATGAGCCAGTCATGGGGCAGATGCTGGCACAGTGTGGGGACTCCCACTTGGGTAGAGGTGCCAGCCCCCAATACTCACTGTAGCTTTGTCAAGGACTTTGATGGAACAAGGCTCAGCCACATTGTGCTTCCTCAGGGCTTGTTCCAACAGCTGTAATGGAGGACGTTCCCACTTGCCAAAGACAACCAGGTCTATGTCACTGGACAGAAGAGAAATGTACATCAGTCACTGCACCCCTCACCAAAAAGTGACCCTATGTGGGAGGTCAGTGCCACAGCACACCATCTCCAAAAGGCGAGGGCATAATCCCATGAAGAACCTAAGCTTACACACTGAAATGCAGTTTCTGAGTCATCCACTCTCTGAAAAAGCCATGCCTCCCAGCCCAGATGCCTATGCTGGCTTCACTGGTTCCCACCTCAAAGCCTTGAGTCCTCGAGAACTTTGAACTGGTTCAGCTTCCCACTGTCCCTGCCAGTGCCAGCCCCTACCACAGCCCATCAGCTTCCAAACGCTAACTGGCAGGAGGCAACAAAAACCTCCAAAGACACAACGCATGTGAAAATCTGGACACGAGAAGACAATTTAGAATATAAATCTGACATTTTGCTTGCACATAAAAACCCTCATGGAATACTGTTCAAACAGAACTGTGCTTGAATCTTCATTAAAACTTTATCAGCAGAATATTCTCTAATACATGCACTCTTCCACAGTCCTTACTGTGTAACGAATATGCACTCCATGTATGGGGTTGGGGGAATCCCACTTAAAGGCAATCGCCAGTACAAGAGTACTGAGGTGGGGCCTTTCTGAGGGGATCTTTTGAGGTCACTGCTTTCAGGGATAGAGCAAGGCCCTGGTCACAGGAAGAATTAGTTATAAAAGGGAAGAATTTGACCCAGTAGTGGCCTCTGAATCTTGGACTTCCCAATCCTCAGAACTGAGAGTTAAAGAGGCTTCCACTGCCTACAATCCAGCCAGTCTGTGGGTCTCTGTTATAGAAGAAAATGAAGACAGGCATCTCATTCATCTTTTTCTATCTCTAGTGCCCAACATTCTTGTTCTACAACAAATTAAATGCAAGAGGAAAAATGCCAAGCAAGCAATTCATTGCCTTAGTACTAAATTAAGTTTTCCTTCCTGCCAATTCTCCCTGTGTGCCCCAATCTCTCTTCAGCTGGCAGTTCTAGCCTCAGATATACAGATACCATCTACACCAATAAACACTAAGTAAAAGCCGCAGTGAGCTGAGCGACTCACCTTGTTGGAAGATAGAGACCTGTACTAAAGCTGCCAAATATCTGCACCTGAAAAGAAAACGCCCCACAGTTAAGTCAGCAGACAGCCATCACGTCTTCAAAATATCAACAAACAAGCAATATTTAAGGGAGGGACTGGGGGAAACGGGGGGGGGGGGGGGGGGGGGGGGGGGCAGGTGAAATGGTACAACCGGTTAAAAAAAACTCTCGGTATCTTGACATTAAAGTCCAGCTCACCAGGCACTACAAACACCCACATACCTCATCTCCACCAATACTCATTCATGTAAGAGTGAGGTACGAGGAAACACTTTCCACTTTTAATGAAAGGGGCATGTTGTATGCCATACGGTGTAGGAATGGGAAGCAGGAGCGAACAGGGGAGAGGGCAAATTTCTAATCTGAAAATGATTTCAAAACAAGAACGATCCCATCAAAAAAAGAGAGAAGATTCCTTAGGCCAACAGTCTGCACACAACTGTGCGCCTGTGTGCTAACCAATGGCTAGAACACATCCGGGTTTGACTCAGCAGTGCAGAGTGGGGAGTACATTTCTCAGCAGCTCCCAGGCAACACTGTTCAGGAGGACCACGCATGCAGAGCCACTACCATTGGCCAATGGGAAGCATGTGTGGATCCAGCTGACAATCACAGAACATTCACACTGACTTGCTATGTACTACATGACACGGGAGATACCCACGTCAGCCGTTGGCCAGAGGTCTTTCACCACGGTTTCAATCCGCTTTACCACTTCCCTTCTCATGGCAGCTTCTTCAGGACACGGGGACATGAAGTTGTAAAAGTCAATTATCTCCTCATGAAGTCTGTGGGGTAAAGAAAAACAAGAGAGATGTAATTAAGCAGAATCCGACCTTCCATTCTGTAGATCAAAATATATTTCTGGCCACTTAAAATCCAGTTTTTCTGGAAAATAACAAAATGAAAACTCGGGAGTACATGGAACCTCCCAGCATGGTCTAGCCGATCATGATGAACTCTGTCAATTCCAAATATTAAGGAATTTATGGGGCTGGAGAGATGGCTCAGCAGTGAAGAGCACTGACTGCTCTTGTAGAGGCCCCGGGTTCGATTCCCAGCACCCACATGGCAGCTACGAACCGTCCTTAACTCTAGTTCCAAGGGAATCCGAAGCCCTCTTCTGACCTCCACGGCACTGCATGACACGGGTGCACTCACATACATGCAGGCAATACATGCATACACATAAAAGTGATAAATAAAATTTTAAGACAAAAAAGAAACTTATGACTGGCCTTTAAAGATGTTTTCAAAAGAATTTCAGTGACTTCACATTAAGAAAACATGAGAGCTGCATTCATGACATAGACATTTTCCAGTGAATGCCACAGGAGCACAGCAGATAGCAGAAATGCAACCATCAGCACCAAGGCACCTTGCTGGGTGCCTCACACACTAGGCAGCAGATAACCTGAGAGAGGAAAAAGACACGCACAACAGACCCACATCTCAGCAGTCACAGTCTCAGGAAGCTCCTGCTGGCTGTCCACTAAGTGCAATGCAGAAAATAAGTGGAGGAGCTCAGGACTCAAAATGGGAGTGAGAAAGATCACAGCATGAGATCAGGGGTGGAGGACTTGAGAAACATGCACAGTTAAATAACTGTCCCAAAGTCCAGAAAGAACACTAAGGCTAGCTCACTAAAATTCTAGCTATGTCCCACACAGACTTAACACACGCAAACACCTTGCGGACAGGAAAGTCTGACACTGAGCCACTCCAGGTCTCCACTTACAAAGCCGAATGCACCGCCTACCTTCTTTTGAGTTTTGTCTGAAATAGTAACAACATGAAACAATCGTCCCCAGGCTGCCCAAGTTTCATGCTGAGCTTTCTTCCTCAGGTTCAGCCCTTAGCACCAGGACCTTCCCTGACACTCCAGAGAGGAAAGCCATAGGTGACATGTGCTGCAGGCCACAGTAAATACCCAGTCAGATTTCTACTCACTTCCTTGGAGCCAGGAAGAGGGTGGCTAGCATTCTTCCAGGGATAAATAAGTCCACGGCCTGCCCAAGTGCCCAGAGCAAGAAGTGGTACCCAGTGGAACAGGGGTGTCAATTCCAGGGCTCTTGCCCTACTGTGGAGGCAGGACAATCACTATGCCAATATGAAATCGGTGATAAATGGGATCTAAGAATTAGCAACTGCTCTAAGAAACCATCAGTCAAGAATACATGTGCTTTGTGTTGTCAGAGTACAAAGGATCTTACTGCCATCCGCTGCCTACTTAGATGATGGGGCCAGACCAAAAAAGCGTCCTACTGGCCTTTCCTCCTGGAAGTAAGCATGGTCATCAAGACACAACATGACTCAGCCAGGGAGGAGAAGAATTTGGCAACTTGTAACAGCTGTCAACAGAGATAGACAGGAAAGTAAAATCAGCACCGCTGTCACACCTGGGCAGACATAAGAACCTGTGTCTGCCTCCTGCTCCAGTTCTCTATGGAACCCCTAAAGGGGAAGGTGTGAGGCCAGGGAAGGCAAACCACTGGTCATGCAGAGAACTATGGGACAGGAGCGCTCAACAAAACCCGCAAGAGGGGCATAGAGTGCCAGCTCCCGGCACCATGCACACTCTACCCAGGCTGCTGCCTCCTTGCAGCACACAAGGATGGGCTAGAGACTGCTTGGGCTGGGAAGACACCTTGTGCAACCAAGAGCTCATCACTCATCACAGCTCATCAGGTCCAGAACAGTGAGCACTCATGCCAAGTCAACCCCATGTGGAGGACGACCAACCACCCTATGCTAAAAGACCTGGCTTAACCTCATCAGTCTCGTCTTTGTCTATACAACAACAAGTTACCAACATTTTGACAACAGTACATATCCTCTACACTGCATAACTTGACTTGTTAGCAGAAACCAGAAACAAAGAACAAAGAAAAGCTATTGAAAACTGTGAGAAAGATCAAGTCACATACAAAGGCAGGCCCATCAGAATAACAGCTGACTTTTCAAAGGAGACTACGAAAGCCAGAAGGGCTTGGACCCACGTCCTACAAGTCATGAAGAACACAGCTGCCAGCCCAGACTACCATACTCAGCACAATTATGAGTTGTAATCAAAGGACAAAGCAAAACTTTCTATGATACAAAGAAGATTTAAGGAATTTATGTCCATGAAGCTTGCTCTACAGAGAATACTTGATAGAATACTTCAGTCTAAAGAGAAGATTAAATACTCTCAAGAGTGCACAAAGAATAAACAATTCCAGAACAGGTAACCAAAAGAGGTCTAAGGAAACAGCACAAAGCCAACCCAACTCCCCAATAAAAAGGCACAGACTAACTCACTGGATTAGAAAGCAGGAACCACCAATCTGCTGCCTCCAAGAAACACACATCACCATCAATGATCAACTCCACCTCAGGGCAAAAGGGTGGAAAAAGGTCTTTCAAGCAAATGGAACTAAGAAATAAGCAGATATAGCTCTTCTAGTACCTGACAACATAGACGTCAAACTAGAACTAGTCAGAAGAGACAGGGAGGTCACTTCATACTCATTAAAGGAAAATACACTGGGAAGATATCACACTCCTAAACATACGCACCACACACAGACACCCAATTTCACAACAGAAACTGTTAGATCTGAAATCACACACTGACTCCAACAAAGTGATAGTGGGTGACTTCCATATCCCACTGTGACCAAGAGTCAGGTCAACCAGACAGAAACTAAATACAGAAACCCCAGAGATAAATGACATCATAAATCAAATGGATCTGACAGCTACAGAACATCCCACCCAAACATCAAACAATACACTTTCTTCTCAGCAGGAGAGGGGACATTTTCAAAAATTGGCTACATGACAGGACACAAAGCAAGTCTCCACAAATTTAAGAAAACTGAACTATCATCCTGTATTCTATCTGACCACAACAGAGTAAAGCTGGATAGCAACAAGAGAATTGGGAAAAAGTACATAAAGTCACAGAAACTAAGCAACACATTACTGAGTGAAAACTGAACCAAGGGAGAAATCAAGAAGGAAATTTAAAAATTCCTAGGATTAAATGAAAATGAAATACACCAAAATATATGGGACACAATGAAGGCAGGACGTCCTAGGAGGAAAATGGAAGGCACTAAGGGCCTACATCAGAACATCAGAAACATCTATGAAACTTGATGCACCCAAAGGCCTTGGAAAACCAAGAATAAACAACACCTAAACAGGACAAGAAGAAACAAATGAAACGAGACTAAAATTAATGAAATAGAAAATATGAAGAACCAATGAAACTAAGAATGCACCTTTGAAAAGATTAACAAGATTGACAAACCAGATTAACCAAAAGAGAACAGACCCAAATTAATAGACTCAGAGATGAAAAGGGAAACATTTCAATGGACACTGAGGAAATTCAGAAAACCATAAGGACATACTTTAAAAATCTATATTCCACTAAACTGGAAAATCTAGCAAAAATAGAAATATTTCTAGATACATACAACCAACCAAAGTTAAATCAAAATGACATAAATAATTTAAAGAGACCCATAACAACCAACAAGATACACACAGTAATTAAGATCTCCCAACTGGGGCCAGAGAAATGGCTCAGCAGTTAAGAACACCTGATGTTCTTCCAGAGGACCTGGGTTCAGTTCCTAGCACCCACGTTGTGGCTAACAACCATCCGTAACTCCAGTTCAAGAGGATTCGATACCCTCTTTTGACCTCCACAGGCATTGAAAGACATGGGTGCACCTGCATACATTCAGGCAATGCATTCATATACATAAAATAAAAAAATTTTAAGACACTGAAAAAGGAATTGATGATGAAAAGACCTCCTGTGCTCATGGATCAGTAGGATATTGTGAAAATGGTCATTCTACCAAAAGCAATTTACAAATTCTAGGCAATACCCATTAAAATTCCAATACAATTCCTCACAGAAACTGAAATCTCAAATTTCATATGGAACAAAAAACGAGGACAGCCCAAACAACCCTGAACATCGAAAGAACTACTACAGCCATTACCATCACTGATCTCAAACTATACTACAGATCTATAGTAATAAAAACAACATGGTGCTGGCGTAACAACAGACACACTGATCAGTGGACGAGAATTGAGGACCTTAAGTCCATGCATTTACAGCAAACTGATTTTTGACAAAGGAGTCAAAAATACACACTGGAAAAAAAGAAAAAAGACAGCATGTTCAACAAATGGATCAAGAACCTCAACATAAGAGCTGGTGCCCTGAATCTGACAGAGGAGGAAGGAGGAGCTACACTGGATCAATCTTATATGCACTGTAAAGGGCTTTCTGAACAGGACTCCTATAGCTCAGGCATTAAGTCTGATAATGATCAATGGGACCTCATAAAAATAAAAAGCTTCTGTACATCGAAGGATGTCATTATTTGAATGAAGAGGCCACCTACTGAACAGGAAAAAATCTTTACCTGCTATACCTCTGACAGAGGGTTAATGTCTAGAATAGTGCAAAGAACTCAAAAAACTAAACATCAAAGAAACAAACCAATTAAAAATTGGGGCAAGACATTACCACTGAAATCTACCTGATGACTTTATATCCATGCTCAGATGCCAAGGAGCTCAGAAAGTAAGTGACTGTGACTAGTAATAATCAGATATATAGAGATTAGAAACGCATGTGCATCTTAGTGTCAACTGTATTAAAAATGAATTTTTCTGTATCAAACTGTGTATTTTAATAATAAAATGGAGATCTTTTTTAAAGATTAAAACCTCATTTAATTTTATGTCTTATAGGGTTTATACGGAGTACAATATT